GGGAAAGACGTTTTTTCATCCCTTCTACAACACAGTATGAACATGGCCTGCAATGTGAGTCACACCAAGGCTCTAAATCCCAGCCTGTGCCTGGGCTGCTCCCACAAACAGGCACAGCCCCTCACAGAGTGCTGTGTGAGGAACCTGACAATGGCCCTGACCATATGGGGTGATTCAAGCTGGGGTCTAACTTCTAAAGAGCCTCTTTAGGTTTTACCGAGTATCACAGAACCACAGAATGTCCTCAGTGGGAAGGGACCCTCAGGGATGCTCAGCCCAGCCCCTGTCCCTGCACAGCCACCCCAACAAGCCCACCCTGAGCACCCCTGGCAGCGCTGTCCAAACGCTCCTGGAGCTCTGGCAGCCTTGGGGCCGGGACCATTCCCTGGGCAGCCTGGGCAGTGCCAGCACCCTTAGGGGGATCATTCTGGTCACAGCCATCCTCTGTGGCTGCTTTTGAGCAGAAGAAGGGAGAGGTGAAGTGCCTCCCTGCACCAGTGACAGGATCCAGGGTTAAAGCTGGGGAGATAAGCCCAAGGATTTCTCCACACTTGACTTGAGTCCAACAGTATTGCAGCAGCTCACTGTGCCAAGCACACAGAGGAGCAGAATTCTGTCCCTGACACCTTCCACAGATTTGATCCAGGTCTAACCAGCAAAGCTTTGTACACCCAGATAGAGCATCCACACAGCCAGAAAACTTCTCCACAAACTTTGGACCACATCAGAAAACTGCTGAGGAGCTCAGTACACTCCACTGCAGAACAAAGTACTTCAGGCAGGGTGCTGAAAGCCTGGCTGGCTCTTCCCATCCCACAAGAACACAAGGATCAGGACCTGAGGGAGTGGCTGGAGCTGTGCCAGGGCTTGGCATGGAGCTCAGGGAAAGGTTCTTGCCCCCGAGGGTGCTGGCACTGCCCAGGCTGCCCAGGGAGTGGTCCCGGCCCCGAGGCTGCCAGAGCTCCAGGAGCTGCCAGGGATGCTCAGGGTGGGCTTGTTGGGGTGGCTGTGCAGGGACAGGGGCTGGGCTGATCATCCCTGTGGGTCCATTCCAGCTCTGCACATTCCAGGATTCTGTGATCAGTGCAGACAAAAGAGCTCAGAGCTCCAGACCTGGAAGCAGCTTTCTGCTCTGGGTTCAAAAACACCCAACTCCAAAACACCCCCTGACAGCATCAGACCAGCAAACCAGGGCTGCCTACCTTAAGATATTTATGAAGAGCTGTATTATGCCTCTTTTATGTCTTTCAGCATACTCAGGACCTCGACTTTAAAGAGAGACCTATTTTTCCCCTCTACAGCTCTTGAAAAGACGCTTTTAGGACTGAAGGCAGCTCTTCCCTCCTCCTTACAGCACACGCTTTCAAAGCACTTCACACACATTCAATAATCTTTTCATCCTGCTCTGAAGCAGGTGGGTTTTAGTCGTCTCAGAGATGGAAAAAGCACTTCAGCCAAGTCAGGATGAGAATTTGCAATCTGCAGATTCCCAGTCCTGGACAGAAAACCCCATCAGCCTCAGTGCTCAGCCAGCAAAGAATTTTCACAAACCTTCAAGGCAGGATGAGAATTTGCAATCTCCAAATTCCCAGTCCTGGACAGAAAACCTCATCAGCCTCAGTGCTCAGCCAGCAAAGAATTTTCACAAACCTCCAAGACACCCACATTATGCTACCACACAGGCAATCCCTGCAATAAAACATGGGAATGGATTTCCCACACCAAGTATTCCATGTTTCAGACCCCAGCTCAAATGTGCCCCTCACTCAACATGTTTGTACATGGAGCTGCTTCCAGACAGGAAGGAAAGGGAACCCCTACCACATCCAGCAGCAGTCAAGGAAAACTCAGTCCTGCTCCTGCAGATCTCCAAGGGGCATGGAGGGCTCTGCACCACTGTCCCCCAGTGCCTGGGAGCACAGCAGCACTGTGTGTACAAAGCAGGGATCATGTCCTCAACACCTGAACGCTGGGAAACCTGGAGCCGTGAGGGTGGGCAAAAAAAAGGTGGGAACAGTGCTACATCCCACTAATTCCTCTTTCCACATCCTCTCTGCTCCACCTGGCACATGGCCCCCCCTCCCACAACCTGCCAGGGCCAGCTCCACTTGCAGTTTTCAAAAGCTCCTTTCAAAGCTATGAAATTGCACCAAGAGTTTCGGGGTTCCTGCCAATCCTCTGGTGATCCTCAAACATCAAAGCCAGCCCCAGCCTCGAATCAATATGCTTAGCAGGCTGCTCCTTTAGATGTTATCCTTTTTTTCTAGGCACCATCCCAGAAAACACCAATCTGTGCTGTAGCTCTTGGTGTAGAAACCCACCTGCCTTGGCAAAAAAATGACACTTTTAAAGCTTCTCTATCGAGTGATGTGATTAAATAGGTCAGACCTGCCCACGTGCATGGTTAGGAGGCTACTTCAAAACAAGACAGGCAGTTCCCCCGGTAGGGAGCAAGCCCTGGGGGATGGAGAACTTGCTCCCAGAAGATGGTTGCCTGGTTGTGGCTGAGCTACTACACCCTCTAGTGTAAATCCTACAGATCCTTCCAGGCCAGGAGCCTCGGGCAGGCAGGGAATGAGAAGAGCACTTCAGCCAGAATCCTTCCCAGGAAGCTGAGCCAAGCACTGCAGAATAACTGCAAAAGTGTCTCCTGCTCCTAAAGGAATCAGGAACGTTTTGTGACCTGTTGGAGTCTGTTCTAAAAGCCTGAGATTGCAGCAGGTCCATTGCTCATTTCCCATTTCTCAACCGTGGCCTCCTCTGGCCTGGCTCCAGCAGCTCCACGTCCTCCTGCTGCTGTTCCCCAGGGCTGGGGCAGCTCTGCAGCTGGGAGCCAACACAGAACCAACATTAAAAAATGGCTGGAGGCGAACCCTGAGCTCAGACAGAACTCACAGATCCCTGTCATGCCAGCTGTGCCATGTGCTGGATGCCAAGAGTTTGGGAAGAGGCAGGAACGGGCTGTGAGCTGGCTGCAGGGAGCAGTGCCTGGAGCTCTGCCTCGTCATCCTGCTTCTTTCACAAGCGGCAGAACCTTCCCCTTGGGAAACCAGGCCCACACTGGGGGTTTTACCTGCCAAAAAAACTCTTCTCTAAGCACTGTAGATTAAGTTGGATATTAAGAAAATGCAGAAATTATACAGAATAGATTCTATATAAGAATTTATATTAAGAAATAAGAATAATAATATAATAGAATATTAAGAATATAAGAATAAGAATTTCTAATAAATTTTATAAGAATTTATAAGAAATTCTATAAATAATTCTATAAACAAATTAAGAATATATAGAATATAGAATATATAGAATATAGAATTAAGAAAATACATTTCTTTCATATAAAAAGTTGTCAAGCACTGGAAGGGGCTGCCCAGGGCAGTGGTGGAGTCCCCATCCCTGGAAGTGTCAAAACAATGTGTGGCTGTGGCTCTAGAGGACAGGGGTTGGATTTTATTAACTTGGAAAGCTTTTCCAACCTTTACAATTCCATGATGGTAAGGAAATTCTTACTTCCCAAAACTCAGCCTGCTCCCCCTGTCTCTGACATGCCCAGGCCAAGCCTAGCAAGGCACTGGGGGATTTTTCTTGCCTTTCACACTCAGGTTACACCAACACTTCCAGCCAGCTCTGGGAGCCTCACACACTTCCCAGGGGCATACAGAGGTTTTCCCTGCCCCACTGCAAACTCCAAACCCAGGCCCAGCTGTAATCAAGCACAGCAGCACCTGGTGCAGGCCAAAATGAGCAATTCCAAAACTCCAAAACTGACACTCCACTCAGATATTTAAAGACATTCAGGAACAGCACACTGAAAGGTAATTATAACATCATCTAAAGAACCATCCTAAAGCATTCTAGGGAGCTCTTAAAATTCAAAACACCAAAATTGGCAAAAAAAAAAAACCTTTGTCTTTCTAACAATTATCTGCCTGTGACAGCCCTGAGAATACTTCTTTTATTTTAAACTAAACTGGTAGTGGTGGTAAGCTGGCCTGGTAACCAGGAGACATCAATAATTAATCCTCTTCCAAACTTGAGAGCAACCCAAAGTTAAGTAAGCACACATAAAAAATACAAACTAGGCTTTGTTTTGGCAATTTCTGCTTCAGATTATTAGACTGTCCACACCAGCATTAATATCCCATCATACCTAACAGAAATAACAAAGCTTTGACACAAAGAAAGCCAGCAGGGCTCTTCTGGGGAGAAGAATGAAGGTTTTTTTCTCCCAATAAATCAGCAGAACAGCAAATAATGTGTATAAATAAAATGACAAGAGCTGCTGAAGGACGGCCAACAATAGCTCACTATTGATCCCTGTGGGTCTGTTCCAACTCAGGGTATTCCTGATTCACTGGCTTTTTGTGCCAGCTGCCTTTGAGAAGCCTGGCAGTGCCCCACAAGCCCCTCACGGGGGGATCTGGCTGACCACAGCCCCCCGGAGAGCCCAGCCCGGGCCCGGCCTCCCGCTCCAGGCAGCTCTGGCTCTAACGGAGCTGTCAGCAGCGGAGCAATTCGGCGCTGACGCCTCAGCGCCACGTGAGCCCGGTGCCCGGGGCGACAAAGAACGGGAGCGGGGCAGCCGGGGCTGTCCCGGAGCCTCGGGACGCTGCTCCCCAACACCCGCTGAGCAGCGGCCACGGCGGGACCCCACCGAGCCCAGCCACCCTCACCCGCTGGGGCCGCACAGCTCCTCCCAACCCTCGCCGGGAGCGAGGCGAGCTGACAGCCACGGCCGGGCCGGGCACACGCAGCCACAGAGCCCCGGCACGGCCGGGACACACCGACAGAGCCCGGGATCGCCGCACTGCGGAGGGGTGACCCGCGCCCTGAACGGTGGGCAGGCGGCAGAAGGGGAGGCCAGGCCGGAGGGAAAACACATGGGGCGGGGGGAGGAAAGCACGACCGGGCTGGGGGCGGCGGGGACGGGAACAGCCGCAGCCCGGGGACGGGGTCGCGGGAAGGTGAGGGGGCACCGCGGCCGGGCCGGGCCGTACCTGCGCCGTGTCCGAGCGGGAGCCCCACGCTGGGGTCGCCTGAGGCTCCGGAGGCTCCGCACGGCGCCGGGGCCACCGGGGGGTGGCGGAAGTGGCAGTAGGGCCTGCGGCACCCCCGGCCCGGCCCCGACCCCCCGGCGTTGAGGAACGGGCAGTCGATGCCGCGGAAGTAGCCGGTGGATCTGAGCATCCCGCCGGCTGCGGGGCGGGAGCGGGGCCGGGCGGGCGGAGGAGCCGCGGGCGGCCGGGACGCGCTCCCGCCTCACACGGCCGGTACCGGGCCCGCCGCCATCTTGGGAGCGCCGGGCGCGGCAGCGAGGACCCCGCGACGCCGCTGCCCGCACAGGGCTGCCCGCGGCGCGCCTGAGAGCGGGGCGGGGCGGGCGGGGCTGAGGGAGGGCCGGGAGCTGCCACAGGATCCTGGAATGGCTTCAGCGGGATCCGCAGCGAGCGTGGATCCAGCCACTGTCCCCGCACAAACACCCCAACATCCTCATCCTGAGCACGCCTGGCAGCGCTGTCCAAACGCTCCTGCAGCTCTGGCAGCCTTGGGGCCGGGACCATTCCCTGGGCAGCCTGGGCAGTGCCAGCACCCTCGGGGGCAAGAACCTTTCCCTGAGCTCCATGCCAAGCCCTGGCACAGCTCCAGCCCTTCCTGGCCTCCTGTCCCTGTCCCAGAGCAGAGCTCAGCCCCTGCCCCTCTGCCTCCCCTGGGGAGGAGCTGCAGCCCCCGAGGAGCCTCCCCTCAGTGTCCCGTGCTCCAGCGTTCCCGTTCCCTGTGGGGCTGCAGAGCCGCCATCCAGAACCAGCGCTCCCCGGGGTGCTCAGGGTGGGATTGTCGGGGTGTCTGCGGGGCCGGGAGTTGGACTCGACGATCCTTAACGGTTCCCTCGCGGCTCAGGATATTCCAGGATTCTCTAATCCAGCCTCGGCTGGGTTTGGCTGGGGGCTGCAGCCACCTCACCCTGCTGTGGGCCGAGCACCCCCGGCTGTGGGCACAGTGATGGTCACGGGCTCCTTGCTCTGTGGCCCGTCAGCGCAGCATCCCCAGCACAGACCACGGTGGAGCACCATGGAGCACGCCGGCAGAGCCTGCAGATCCCAGCATGGACCACTGCCCCTGCACATTCCAGTATTCCCAGCATGGACCACTGCCCCAGCACATTCCAGTATTCCCAGCATGGACCACTGCCCCAGCACATTCCAGTATTCCCAGCACGGACCACTGCCCCTGCACATTCCAGTATTCCCACCATGTTCCACCATGGACCACCAGCCCCAGCATGGATCAGTCCCTAGCAGAGACCACTGTTAAAAATAGGTTAGAAACGGTTGTGAAATAGTTGGTAATTGTTAAACATGTACTATTAGTTTGGTTATTGTAAAAGAGTTTAAAAGGGTAGTTATAAGAAATACGGTACTCAACGTACCATGTTACCCCTGAGTAAAGTGCACCACCCCCAGCCAAACCAGCCAGCCTGGAGTGAACTGTAATGGGCCAATCAAGCGCCTTAAACCTTCGTGCAAATGAAGGATCCGAAAAGAAACCAATCCAAAGGGACAAAAAACAGGATGTAAAGGGACATCTGACCCAGTGAACGCGTGCTGCTCCACCTGGAGCATCGGGGACATTGCTGAAGAAGCCCCATCCTCGACGGGAGCGCTCCTGCTCGGCCTGCAAGCCCGCCTGCTTTAGGCCTTTCTTTTTATTATAACAAATGCTGAAATCACTTTCAGTACTGGGAGTCTGGTCCTGTTTTTAACACCACTACGGACCACCTTCCCAGCACAGACCACTGCCCTGGTCCCAGTACACCCCACTGCCTCATGCATGGACTGCCACGGACCACCAGCCCCAGCGCGGCCCATCCACCCCAGCAGGGAGCACCTCAAACCAGCGCCCTGAGCCCCAGCACGGCTTCAGCTCCCTCAGGAGCAGCAGGACACTGGACGGGTTTGGGCAGTGACCTGAGGCTGAGGCCAGGCCAAGAACTGGTTCCACATCCCATGAGGGCCCAGCCCCCTCCTTGCCCCAGGTGGTCACCACAGCTGCATTCACCAGCGGGGAAACTGAGGCACGCGGTGACAGCACTTTGGCTGAGCTCAGAGCAGGGGCCTAGAGCCTGTGGGGATCAGTCAGGTGAGGGGCTGTCTTAGGTTGGAAGATGTGGCTGGGGGTGTATGTTCTGTTCCCATCTGTCAGAGGTGGGGCAGTTATCATCTGTTCATGGGGCAGTTTTCTTTATCTCTCCCACAGCCAACCCTCCCTCCAGGAGATCTCTGCTGTCCATGGCCACTGAGTGTCCCTGCATGGCTGATCAAATTCCAGCATCCCATGGGGAGATGCTCTGCCCAGGGCAGGAGCCAGGCATTCCTACCTGGATACAGTCTGAGCCTAGAACACCCCAGCAGCCTTTGCCCACTGCATGTTTGTATTATTGCATTTATATTTTTAATTTCCCTAGTACAGAACTGTTATTCCTACTCCCATATCTTTGCCTGAGAGCCCCTTAATTTCAAAATTACAGTAATTCAGAGAGAGGGGGTTTACATTTTCCATTTCAGGGGGGGCTCCTGCCTTCCTTAGCAGACACCTGTCTGTTCCAGCCCAGACAGGGGCATCCACAGCTCCTGGGAATCACTGGCACTGCCCCTGTCTGGGTGTGCAGAGCAGGGAGACTCCACCTGCAGCAGGTGAGGCTGTTCTCGGGCCAGCAAGGACCAAGCCCTCCGAGGGGAAATCCCGTGGAGTGGAACAGGACAGCCCAGCCTGGAGAGACAGGACGATCCAGGAGAGCCTCACCTCTTGTGCAAGGAGAGATGGGAAGCTCAAGGGCAATGCCAGGAACAATTGGATGATGCAGAGGAAGGTGCACGAGGAGGAGCTGGCCTTGGCCAAAGGGAGGGACGAGGGAAAGGTTGCAAAACTGTGTTTTGTAATAGTCTTAAGTGAAAAAAAAAACCCTTTGTTTTCCAAATTGGACACACGCTGCTGCCTCCTCCTGCCCATCACTCCCACGGCATCCCAGCAGAGCCCAGGAACCCAGCACTGAGCAGAACCAGCAGCTGCTGACCCTGGGAAACCTGAATAATCCATAAAAAGCTTCTAAAAAGCAGGAGACCCCAGGAGATAAGCTGCCTTCCCTCGGGCAGAAGCCTGGTCCTGGCACGAGGTGCTCTGCAGGTACTGGGGGAGGGCTGTGCTGAGACCCCCTCCCCACCAGGCCTGGGAGGCAAGCTCATCTTCCCCCCACAAAAACAGAGTGGTTTTATTTTTATGGTGTGGTTAAATCTATTTTATAAAACTTCAGCTGTGACAGAGAAGCTTCAAGAAAGACACACAACATAAGAGCGGAGACACACAGGATATTTCCCTGCCTTACAATTCTCATCCTGTGCTTCCTCAACTCACAGACCAGCAAAATAAAATAAAATAAAATAAAATGCCCAGACCTGGAGGACTCCACATGGAAAACCTTCCCAAAATCGATGCTGGTCTTGCAGTTGCCTGCTCAGCTGAGCTCAGTTCACTGGGATGCCCACTCAGCTCCCAGTCAAGAGCGCTGGGCAAGGCCCCGAGGGTCCCTGTGCCCACCCAGGCAGCTCCTGTGCAGGCAGCACCCCCAAACTCCCCCATCCTGCCCAGCACTCCAGGGAATGCCTCCAGCCCTGCTCAGGACCTAAAACCCCCCCCCAGCCTCCTGGACTGAGCAAGGGACCCCCAAACCTGACCCCAGCACCTCAGAGCCCCTGAGCCTCTGCAGAGGAGTGAGGGGGACCCCCAGACAGAGGCTCTGATTCCAGGGGAGGAGGGGACGAGTGGGGCGGGGGGGCACAGGGTGGGGCTGTCACTGACCTCTGCAGGGACAAGGGGGACAGGGGTTTGGCCTCGCCTCCCCAGGAGGGCCAGGCAGGGAGGTGTCACTGCATCGGAGCCAGGGTCACCCCTGGCACAGCCCTTCCTGCTGCTGGGGGACACAGGGACCTGTCCCCAGTGACAGTACCCTGACACACAGGGGACAGGGCCTGTTCTGACTCTGGCAGGTTGTTTTGTGTTACTACATTTTAAATTTTATTTTTATTTTCTTCCCTAGTAAAGAACTGTTATTCCTATTCCCATATCTTTGCCTGAGAGCCTTTTAATTTCAAAATTATATAATTCAGAGAGAGGGGGTTTACATTTTCTGTTTCAGGGGAGGCTCCTGCCTTCCTTAGCAGACACCTGTCTGTTCCAGCCCAGACAGGGGCATCCACAGCTCCTGGGAATCACTGGCACTGCCCCTGTCTGGGTGTGCAGAGCAGGGAGACTCCACCTGCAGCAGGTGAGGCTGTTCTCGGGCCAGCAAGGACCAAGCCCTCCGAGGGGAAATCCCGTGGAGTGGAACAGGACAGCCCAGCCTGGAGAGACAGGACGATCCAGGAGAGCCTCACCTCTTGTGCAAGGAGAGATGGGAAGCTCAAGGGCAATGCCAGGAACAATTGGGTGATGCAGAGGAAGGTGCACGAGGAGGAGCTGGCCTTGGCCAAAGGGAGGGACGAGGGAAAGGTTGCAAAACTGTGTTTTGTAATAGTCTTAAGTGAAAAAAAAAACCCTTTGTTTTCCAAATTGGACACACGCTGCTGCCTCCTCCTGCCCATCACTCCCACGGCATCCCAGCAGAGCCCAGGAACCCAGCACTGAGCAGAACCAGCAGCTGCTGACCCTGGGAAACCTGAATAATCCATAAAAAGCTTCTAAAAAGCAGGAGACCCCAGGAGATAAGCTGCCTTCCCTCGGGCAGAAGCCTGGTCCTGGCACGAGGTGCTCTGCAGGTACTGGGGGAGGGCTGTGCTGAGACCCCCTCCCCACCAGGCCTGGGAGGCAAGCTCATCTTCCCCCCACAAAAACAGAGTGGTTTTATTTTTATGGTGTGGTTAAATCTATTTTATAAAACTTCAGCTGTGACAGAGAAGCTTCAAGAAAGACACACAACATAAGAGCGGAGACACACAGGATATTTCCCTGCCTTAGAATTCTCATCCTGTGCTTCCTCAACTCACAGACCAGCAAAATAAAATAAAATAAAATAAAATAAAATAAAATAAAATAAAATAAAATAAAATAAAATAAAATAAAATAAAATAAAATAAATACACTTGTTTCTGCCCAGACCTGGAGGACTCCACATGGAAAACCTTCCCAAAATCGATGCTGGTCTTGCAGTTGCCTGCTCAGCTGAGCTCAGTTCACTGGGATGCCCACTCAGCTCCCAGTCAAGAGCGCTGGGCAAGGCCCCGAGGGTCCCTGTGCCCACCCAGGCAGCTCCTGTGCAGGCAGCACCCCCAAACTCCCCCATCCTGCCCAGCACTCCAGGGAATGCCTCCAGCCCTGCTCAGGACCTAAAACCCCCCCCCAGCCTCCTGGACTGAGCAAGGGACCCCCAAACCTGACCCCAGCACCTCAGAGCCCCTGAGCCTCTGCAGAGGAGTGAGGGGGACCCCCAGACAGAGGCTCTGATTCCAGGGGAGGAGGGGACGAGTGGGGCGGGGGGGCACAGGGTGGGGCTGTCACTGACCTCTGCAGGGACAAGGGGG